GAATAACGCTATGTGTGCTTTCTTTCCTAGGCTACCAGCCGGACCGGGCGGGTCACCTAGTTTGTTGGGCGGGGGAGGCTGTGCAAGGGCGAAAGAAGGTGCCAGCCAAAAAAGAAAACAAAAAAACACTACGTTATGAAGAAAAATAGACTGAACCACACTTGGCTGAGGGTTACATCAAAATTCGCTACCAAAAAAAAAAAAAAAAGGGTTGAAACTTGATTTTTTTTTTTTTTCAATTTTAATGTTTTTTGGCCCGGCGGGGCAAGTCGTCCCGGGCAACTGTGGTCGCCTAGCTTTAATGTTTTTTCGCCCATTCCAAACTCGTGCGGTGACAAAACAATAATTTATTGTTTTTGTTGCCCTTTCGGAATCCTTTTTTTTTTTTTTTTTTAATGGGGACAAGGCTCTAATCTATTCATGGGAAGGCAAAAACAGCACGGGCGCAGCGCGACCGGGACCGCTGCGCCCCTGGCCTCACCGAAGCGCCAGCGTAGGAGAGTCGACACGGACGATCGGATGAAGCAACACGAGAGGCGTTCGGGAAGGGATGGGGAGGGGGGAGCTAAGGCTGGTGATGAGGGCGGTTGCACGCGAGGTAGTGATGGCGGCTTTTGTGAGGGAACGGGTGGTGGGTGAATGGAAAGGTGCTCCACGTTGCCAACCATGGAGGTGTTGCGCCAGCCTTTGTCGAGCTCGTATTGAGAATAGGAGGACCGAGGTACGTCCGAGTTTTCGTATCGTCGAAGCTGAGGTGGGCTGTTCGGCGAACTAAGAGGACAAAACACCGTGGAGACGGTGGAGGAAGCTAGCAACAGCTAAGAGATGGACACCACCAAGTTTGGAATTGAAGGATAACAAAGGCGAATAGAGGGCTGAGGCGGTGACTCAGAGCGGGCTATGGGTTTGATCTCGTCCCCCTTTCCCCAATAGTGTAGTGAACGGATGTTTAGGATGGCTTGAACCCTCTGTGACGACTTGATGACAGGTTTGGCGAGGTGGTATCACAATGTCTTCTGATCCTTGGGGGGTTCGAGGAGGGCCGTTGTTGTCGTCAGTGTTAGCATTGCTTTGATGCCTAGTGCCACTAGTGGCTAGTAGTGGGAGGAGGTGTGTTTCTCTTTCCCCGAAGATGGTGGGGTAGGGTTTGAGGGGAAAGGTGGCAAGTAGGTGGGTATTGAGGAAGTGGGGGAGGAGGTTTTTCTTGGAAGCTCTATTGTAGCTGTGGCTAATGATCTTCGTGGTAATAACTTGGTTTTTGTTTTTTGATCCATATCAATATGGAAGCTCATACTCAAATAATTACTATTAATCTTCTGATTTTGATTTGATTTCGATCTGATTGATCTGATTTGAATATAGAGTTGATAGATCCTTATGGTTGATTGGGAGGATGAATCCCACTTTTGCTTTCTTCTGTGATTTCTCAATTAGTAACTCCAAAGTAGTTGATGCTGTTTAATTCTGATTATAAATTTCGTATGATCTTTTTTGTCTTGAAAAACTTCCAAGCATGATTTGGAATTGACTTCTTACAAATTTTCTCAAAAGCTCCAATCTCATTTGCTAAATGATTCTCAAACTGCGGTGTGAGAATCGATTCGAAAATCCTTTTTGGGATATCAAAATCTATATCAAATCTATCATCGTAGATTTTTCTGGATTACACATGTCATATTTCCAGTTCTGTACGTGATTCCCTAATTGGAAAATTGAAGTAATTTTATACTCGGATTGTATTTTGCTTTTCTTAGTTGTTGTTATAAAAACCGATGCAGGTCTGCCGGTCCAAGAATCGAGGTGAGTGGGAGAGATGGTGCGATATCAAACGTCTTACTAGTGAGGGGGCTTGTGATGCGAAACCTCATGCCCTGTGCGACATTCCGTTCTTCGGACACCGATCAGAGTAGTTGGGGGCGTGGCCGATGATTTTTGGCTATGGGGGTTGAGCCACCCGGTCGAAACGGGGGACTCTTGCTTCGGGCCGAGGTGCCGAGGATGGGGCTTGAGCTGTCGCCGGGGACGAACGACGGTGCCCTACGGGCCTTCCGTCGTCACCGCATGAAAAAAGGAAAGAAAACAGAACGAGAGGGGAGGGTAGAAGAGAGACAAAGCCGACGGGAAGGGAGTTTTGCTCCCCAAGGCGCCAAGTTCACCCGGCCTTCGGGGGCAGGAACCCCCCCCCCCTAATCTGTTCGGCTCAGGCTTCGACGTCCATCTTGTCGAGTCCGTGCATTTGGCACGGCACGAGGCCGCCCGGGGTCGGGCGGGTCGAGGGAATCCGAGTTTTGAAACGGGGGGAAAGGCCCCCGCATCGCGGGAGAGTTCGAGGAAGCGGGCGGCTCCTTCGTACCCCAGGACCAACCGTCGCCACGAGCACGAGTCCCCCTGACGGCACCAGTGGCAATTAAACTTCACCCTCCACACGGCGTGCACAGACCAGGGCAACACTGTGAGGTCTGTGTACGGCAAGATCAAAGGTGGGGAAGAAAATCGCCTAATTAGCACGAACCCACTCCCTCCTATGTGGCACGCCTTGGTTCGGTTATAACGATCGATTGGCTCCGTACGCCGTGCCCCGCACGTCCGCGTTGCAGTATACTCCGTCGTCATCTGCGATTGGGAATGGCGGAAGCATATTGCAACGCACAGAGACAAAGTCCGAGCTCGGGCCTCGGCCCTCGCTCCCGTCAATCAAGACGAAACCTGACTCCATGCAAGGACCAACGAATATCGGCGCAAAGATGCTCTTAGGAGTCTTAGCTCCTTTCTCCGTCTTTCTCCCTCCTGTAACGTCCACTTGAATGCAACGTCAGGAACCCCGGGAGGGGTCCAGAGAGATCGGCCTTGGCGCGGAAACGCGGAGGACCGTTATGTCCGATCGGCCTCCCCTTGGAGTTCCCCACGTGCACACGATGAAAGAGAGAGACAGTGGAAGGAGGGTGGCGCGTATCCCGCACACCCACACGGGTCGAACGAAGAATGGGAGGAGGAGAGGTCGACGAGCTCATGCACACAGGCCAGCAATTGACATTCGATACTTCTTATTATCAGTCCCGGGGGCGCGTACACGTACGCTTACACATACCGTCCTTATTGAAACATTCAACATCCATAGACTTTCATACCCGACATGCATAACAGATCACCCACATATTGTGACCATGCACACATCACATGGGGGCAAAGCAGCAATAGAGAAAACGCGAGTTTTAAAACACAAAATCCTCACAACTGGCCACTCCGGGCCCAGTCCCCGATCCGTCCAAACCATAGACAACCATAGCCACAAGGCCCTGCCGCTGCCGGCATCTGATCTCCACCACCGCTCAGTCCCTCAGACTGCCTTACCCCAAGTCTACTGCTAACTCCGCCACTCGTCGTCACTCCACCCACCACGGGGCTCGTCGAGCCTTTCCGGCGCCGCGGGCTTCACGCATAGCTTGCGCAACTTGCAGCCGAGATCAAAGAGGGTGAGAGGAAGGGGTTGCGAGAATTTATAGCGAGGAAGGTGGAGGAGAGGCTGTGAGAAGCGGGGGGTGTAGATGATCAGGATAGAAGAAGGGCAGACGTTCCAGAAGGATCGAAGGAGGCGAATCGAATGATCTGCGTGATTGGGGTGGTCGTCCAAGGGGGGTGCGCTTCCCGTGGCCACCCTATTGCCCCAACCATCCCAATCAGACAGCCAATCATTCGCAGGGAAAGGAGAAGGAGGGGATCGGACTTCGCTTAGAGGGAAGACGAAGAGACATGCAGGAGGGTGATGCACATCAAGAAGGGAAGATGGCATGGGGATGCAGAGCAGGAGAACGGGTTTACGTGGCGCGCAAAAATTCAAAAATCGTCGCGTGCTCAAAGTTCAAAATTCCTACTCCCGCTAAGTCCCAATTGTTTCTTGAATTTCCTAGTGCAGCCGCTAACCGGCCACGCCAGTCCCGAATTACATTTTCTACTCCACCCCTCTTAAACAAAAGAAAGAAGAACAAAAAGAAAAAAAGAAAATGAATCACCGTTTTCACCCATTATCTTTAATTTTTACTTCGAGGCTCTACGTTGGATTTCCCATTAGGGGTACGAGAAGCCGCCGAGTGCGGATCCTGGCTTATCACATCTGTGATGCGCAGGGGGTTCCGAAAAAATAGCAGTCTCCTGACTGCTGTATAGGCCTCATAATTACCTTGATGATCTGGGCGGCCACTTTTTCGTTAGCTGGCCCAGTTCATCACCTATTCTGGATCTCCCCTCCTATTGTACACCTGATCGGGCGGCCCCTTCACCGTCAGCTGGCCCGATCTGCATATGGCTATATATATACATATATATATATATACACAACGCGTTTTGCCACACGACCTTTGTAATCAGAAGAAGAAGAAGACAGGGGTAAGAAGAAAAAATTAGAGGAAATGGTGGATCTCAAGATTAAGAGGGGGAGGAAGAGGAGGAAGAAAGGCTGCCAGCTCAGTCGGAGTCGTCGGCACCTTCATTTCGTTGAAGTGGTGTTGGACAAAGGAGGAATAGCGAAACACCCCCGGGACATGTGCCAAGCCGCGTGGCGCCAGATCCGCAATAGCCTGTACGACCCGTTGCCGCACTGTGCGATTCCCGAACCCGTCATCACCAGATGGGTCTCGGTATACGGCCTTCACTCCCTCTTGAGCACCGCGATGACGAGGAAATGGTACATTACATTCGGTCGCTGGCCGGCCTCGTAGATGAGCATTCCGGTAGTCTGGCCGCAACGCATCCCTCAAATGGCGGCTCTAGATACGGCTCCCATGCAGGATCAGGACGTGGGGCCCCCTCGATTTCTTCGAGCCTGATTGTTGCAGGCTCCACCATGAACGCGACATCCGTCGGGTGGACCGTCCGGCTCGGAGGAACTGCTAAGGTCAATGACCGGGGCACGCCTGGGTGGCTGGCGAAAGCGGAAAAGTCCTGCGAGGATGGGGGGTCTGGATGCGAGATATGGTACTCCTCCCACTCCTCCTCCTCCTCCTACTAGTGGTGACGGGCCGGCTCCATCAAGATTGAGATCGGGAAGGAGCGGCGGCGGTGGTGTCAGCTTCGGAGGGCTCCCGCGTATCCGGAATCCGCTTGTTCCTGCTCCTTCCCCCGGTGGAGGTCCCTCGATCGGTGTCGCCTTGCTTTCCGGAACAGGCTCTGGCTTCCGTACCCGCCCGGCCTGGCCCACCTCTTCTTCGGGTCCCACCCGGCTTCCTTGCGCCTCCGGTGATGGTTGGCGACGTCTCCTCTTGGGCATCTTCCTGATGGCCCTCGGGGCTACTGGCTTGGGGTAGGATGAGGGAGGCCGCAATGACTTTTGGTCGGCAATGCTCACGGTCCACCTTTTCTCCCTCCCGCGCGATATAATCTGGTATCACCACCGCGTGGTAAGATCGCCGTGGAGCCGATGCTGTTCGCAGGTGGAGTTGGAAATCCTCTTCTTCGCTGGCGATCACTTTCGCGGTAGACAACAACTCGATATGGATGAGTTCTAGCAGTCCCGGCCTGCTCGTCCCGATCTCTCCGAACGGGTACAATGCCACCGTGCCCTCCTTCTTCGGCTTGGGCCGTGAGATGACGTAGTACGCCCGCAGATTCTCAGCGATGTTGTGATCGTCGTAGGACACGTCAAACCGAAACATGCCTAACACCACCGATCGATACAGTGCGCGATGCAATTCCCACATGTCCTCTTCTGCTTGCGGCAGCGGCTCCGCATCCTCCAGCTCCGCCAGATACTTGGGGAAGTTGCGCATGGGATGGGGGCTCGCCGTGAGTTGATAAGGGAGGGTGGTGTAAGAAAAGAAGGGAGGCATTTAGTATGAGGGATGTGGGATGACTTGGATGTTTCGAGGGTCGGCGGGGGGGAGAAGCGCGGGCAACTGTGGCACAAGTGCTAGCGGTCCGTCTAGTATCCATTGCAACAGTGCATGGTATGGCGTGAATCGATGACCCCTTCCCTGCGCACGCTGTCGCACTTTTTCTAGTCGCGGCCACTTCGGACGACCATAAAGCCAACTGGCTGTCACGCAGGGTTTTGGTTGTGATTGCAATAAATAAAATAAATTAAATAGTGCAAATCCCTTCCTGTTGTGTGCGTCCGGCTTCGAGCGAGATCCTTCAATTACGGTCTTCGCCAGTCCCCGGTCTTAGGAATCTTTTATTTTGATTCGGAACCGCAGTGAATCATGCAAATAATAATCATAAAATTGTGGAGTGTTACGCATGCATCAATTATGTCAATCTGATTTTGCGAATTGTAACAGAATCATCGACAAAACCAATCATCAAGCAAAAAAACAATGCAAGAAGCAAGACCAACTGGCTCAAACAATGACAGAGACAAATGAATAAGGGAAGAATGAGAACTCATAATAGTCTTAGAAAGTACATAAGGAAGAGAACATGGCCAGCACCAATCAAGAACCCTCACTCATCCCTCTAAACTTCACACTCTCATTTTGCTATCTGTCGTTTGGGCTTCTTGCCATGCCTCCGTGCTCTCTGAGGTTGTGGCCTCTGAATGTAAAACCACCTGAAGCCTGGTAGTTCTGAACTCTTCCATCCCAGTCCCATGATACGGAAGTCAACCATGGCACAAAACTCCTCCCATAGAGTAGAAAGATATGGCTGAGAGAAAATGCCCCTCCTGAGATGTGGGAACTCGGAGGGCTCAATCACTGCCTCGTAGTCGATCACTCCAGGCGGTATGTATCTCTTGGCTAGGTGTACAAGGTCACCCCAGCATGATCCGTCAGTGAAGTAATAAGGAACCGGAGGTTTGGGGTAGTCTGTAAAGAGCTTGGGGCCAAAGCTGTAGACCAGCTTCGAGTCCCCCTTAAGTCTCTTAGCTTTCCACTGTACGAACCTAGCTGCTGCCACCCAAACTGCGTCAAAGTGTGGGTGTGTCTCATTCCCTTTCTTCAGATATACTCGCAGGTCCTTGACTACCCCTCCTGCAATTTCCGTGAGAGCGACGAAGATTGATAGATCTTCGCGCTTGAAGCCGTCAATCTTTGCATAACTGTATGAAAAACTCTCCTTTGAGGCTACCCGATTGAGACTGTCGAGGACAGGCTGCTCGACCGAAATGGGGTTGATCTCTCTCATATGTTTAGGTAAATAGTTACTCCCTGATAGCGGGAAAAAAGACTGTGCTTGATTGACAGGCGTCCGCAGCGGGCCGAATCAATCGCTGTCCACTAAATAGACGTCAATTGCTAATGGACTGGCGAGCTCCTGGACGCTTGTTTGAGTGTTGCTTGAATGCCTTTTGAATGTTGTTCTGGATGCAGTTTCTGAATGCAGTTTCTGAATGCTGTTTTTGGATGCTGTTTCTGAATGCAGTTTCTAAATGTTGTTTCTGGATGTTGTTTCTGAACGCTGTTTCTGAACGCTGTTTCTGAACGCTGTTTCTGGATGTTGTGTCTGAATGTTGTTTCTGGATGTTGCTTTGAGTGTCACTCTTTGATCACAACGTTGAGTACTAGTCACTGACAGTTGCGTTGCATACTAGTCACCGACAACTTCGTTGAGTACTGGTCACTGACAGCGGCGTTGCGTACTGGTCACTGACAGCAGCGTTGCGTACTGGTCACTGACAGCAACGTTGCGTACTGGTCACTGACAACTGCACAAGAGCGTCGTTGACTGATGACATGATTGAGAACCAAAAGTTGTGTATTGTCTACTTATGGGATACGCTAGCAAGACTGAACATTGTTGAATCGCTGATTCGAAAACTGATTGAGAGTAGATTTGAGATCCTAATCAGACCGTGATGTGATTCTGGCCAGGCTTTTGGGATGTTAGATTACCAGGACACCGATTACTTGAAAGCACTGCAGTTGGCGGGGTGAAACTTTTCTTTAACCAAAATACCAATGGAACTCGTGAAGAGAGTCTGGTATTTTCCTGCTTTTACACGAGCCTTAATCTGGCCTATTCGATTATTTTCAGAAAAGAGTAGGTGCCATGCAATTTTTCACCTGGACCGTAAATGTATATGACGTACTCAACGCTTTTCTGGGCCTTCACTAGTCTCAATGCAAGTTCTCTCAACGCTTTTCTGGGCCTTCACTAGTCTCAATGCAAGTTCTCTCAACGCTTTTCTGGGCCTTCACTAGTCTCAATGCAAGTTCTCTCATTACAATTTCCGTGCATTTCCTCTTCCCAGACCTCCGGCTTATCCTGGTAAAGTGCGAGGGATACCATTAGGGCCTTTTTACTACCCATATCTGAGTGGGGGCGTTATAGCTACTATACTTGGAATATTAATAACCCTAGGTGTCTTACCCCTTCAGCTATGCATCCCAGTCCCGATCAGAAGGTACAAAGCATCACCAGAATGCCCCTAACTTACCATAACAAGTCCAGATTCGTCTTCGCTAGACCTCTGTCCAATAGGTTCGTGAGGGAAACCTCCACAATGACTCGAAGCACTTTTATTTAGTAGGCCGACAGCGGCCTGTGATTGGGAGCATATCTCAAAACAAAGTTGGTTGCAGTTTTCTTTGGTACGCTAATAAGGAGGACCAATCTGATCACACGGGGGCGCCGATTCTGAGGACTCTCTTTTCTCCGGCTCAGAACCCACTACCGGACATAGTATTTTCTAGTTGCCTTCACCAGCAGGGCAAGAGCGTCTAGATAAACTTCCCAGAGTGAAAGCTAAACATAGAGAGTTAAGATCTCACAACTGAGCCAAGGTTGAAGTGGGGGACAATCAAACAACAAGACTTAACCAAACATGTCGAGGAATTTTGACAGAAGAGTGGCCTGTCAATTCATTATCAAGGACTGATTAGCGAGCGTCATTCAGTCACCGTCCAGGAGGAATTTTACTAGCAAGTAAACTACTCGTTTTAGAAAGCGTTGTCTCCCACCCATCAGACACCGGAGACCCTCTTTTAAAGCTTCCAACCATACATACACTGAGCGAGCGAATCGGGTCACCTTTTTTGGGGTCTCACATGGACTCTCGCGTCACCCACTAATTTACTTTGTTAAGGGGACAGTGTCATCTCTGGACCCAATCACTGTCGAGGTTTTCACTTATGCCCTACTCAGTTCAATGCTAACCGTTAAAGCATAGTCATGACCCCTGTAACTTTACGCATCTGTTTAATTTAGACTTGACAGTTCACTCTCATACACAAGACCGACGTCCCTGATCTGTGTTCTCTTTTGATTCGTAGCCGATCTCATCGCTAGATCAACATTCTGCTCGACGTGAAGAGTACATACAGGGAGGAGAGACTGAGCAATATGCTCTGCCAATACTATAATTAGATATATATGTATATATATAATTTTCCAAGTATACCGCGAGCGTTATTGGTATCGAAGACACTCGCCCGCAACTTTCCCGCAATCAACGAGATTTGACTTGCTCCAGTCTGCAGATCAGATCCCAGTTTAGTCATTAATTGGCTAAATAAAAGACATCACAACCACCACCTTCCTTTGTGAGAGAACGGCACTGCCGACAGTTTAAAGGATGCAGTCCTGAATAGAGCTTATTCTGCCTCGCCTATCACCGGGCCAGTAGACTCATAGTAAATGTGTCCTCTCATTCTCGCCTCACAGATAGCATAATTCAGAGTAGGCAAGGCGGAATGCTGCATAATTAAGCCATTCAGGATTATATCACCCAACGGTCACATTTCCCAACAGATCTTGCAACATGACAGTCAAAACCAGATAGAAGGGATTGAGGCAATGGAAGCAGAGTGAGCAACAACCAGATACCTTTTGTTATTCAGTTTCTCTCTCCTCGGTAGGTGCAGTTTACTTGCCAAACCCCTCTTAAGACTATCAAGTACCTCGGGCTCATTCAAGTAGCGTAAGGGTCTGTTTTCAAGCAAACTTAACAACCAGACAGTGATCACAAGGAGAAAGCCTTAACTTAATTGTTGGTAAAAGACCTGCCCAGTGCTCGAAAGGGGCCAATAGCAATCGTTTGATCATCTTTTCCTGCGAGAATAACAACCTATACGTTTCTGATCTCGACAGTTTACTCAATATGACATGTGACCTCCCTTCACATAAGCCATCTCCGTCCCACCTCCCGTTGTTGATTAAAGCTTCGTCCAGGATACTTGTATTAATGCATTCACGAGTAGTCTTTTATTCCGATGAGTGAGAGCAAGCACTGATCTTGGTCAGCAATTGGTGGTTTCTTCGTGGTGCTCAAGCCTTTATTCAGCCTTCACCTCTGCCTAAAAATTCGTCTCTCTATCTCCTATTGACTATAGTCGCCACTCATCACATCACTCCCTCTTCCCTTAGCCTGAACACTAGCCTCAGTTGTCTAACAGGGTCGTCATAGCCTTGTACTGAGTCAGCGACTCCGAAGCAAACGAGAGGTCGAAGTGACTGGGAAGAAGGAGCGCGGCGTCGGTCACCAGTTCACACGACTCTCAGATCAAGACGAGGCTTCCTAGCGTTCCGACTCAATCGAGCGCACCCCTCAAGATCAAGAAACGCACCAGTTATTCCCGCCTCCGGAGGGAAAGCCTAACTAGACATTCCAGCTACAGAGTGTTGTCAATATCTGAGGCTGAGCGCAGAGCCTAGTCGACCAATAAAGGTAAATGACGCTGATTAAAAGGTGAGTCCGGTCCCACTCGCTTGTACAACCAATTCGCTTGTACAACCAATTCGCTTGTACAGTCAAACTGACACCTCACTATCGCACCCTTCTTCATACACTTCACCGACTAGATAAGCCAGGATAGGGTCACCAGCGAACTCTCCGAGGCAAGGACCCTCTGATTACGACGTGTGTCGAACAGGGAAGGATCGAATGCAGCTTCCTCTTCCGTAGTAGTGCTGGTCTTCTCAAAGGCAGCCGATGTCATTCACTCTTAGACCCCCG